CCGAGGAGGAAGTAATTTTGTAATGTTTTGCCCGTAAAAATATCTAAGCCGCTGGTATTGCATCTTGCAGGTCGCTGCTCGTATGGGCGGGTGTGCCCTACTGGTGTCCAAGTGGGCCACCCTCGCCTCACTCGACACGGAGGCTGCGCCACGAGGTGGCGGCGCTTCGGCGTCTCGGTGCACCTCGTCGAGCTGGTTTACGAGTGAGTACTCTTCGATCGAACTCTCCACCCCTTCGCACGAGACAGGACGCCAGAGACTTCTTTTTATGTAAACGCGGAAGCTAGTGCATTGATTGATTGAAAATGATTACTAAGGGGATTTCGGGGGTCCAACTGCTAAGGTCATTAGACCCCCGAAAGTTATAAAGCTTGTTTTTGTTTTGCTCGGAAGGGGGTAGTTTTTTCTGCTTCGTTGGATGGTGAGGGTCCCGGCGGCACCAACCGTCGGCCTACAGGGGTTTTCCTCAACCAGGTATCTTCTAGTCGCGGGACAATTGCCTTTCTGCCGGAAGAGGTTTCTAAGCTTCCCAACGGTGTCTCCGTTTGTGGTGTGTAGTGCAATGTACTAAGCGTGTGTGACGGATGAGGTCGGTGTCTGATCGGGAGAACCAAGGGGAAACCTACCCGATCAAGAGCACGCCGGTCAGTCTAGAATATCCCCAGACACGCCAGAACTCGTCTAGCTATCTGATAGAGTCTAAAATCTTGCCGTCGAGGGACTCGATCCGCAGAGACAGCCTTCAGACGCACTGCAGTGAGATCACTTGATTCCATAGCTCCTCTCCCGATCGAGAAAAGCAAGTGGGATAAACGGGTCCAGTGGTCGAATGCGCTTGGCAGGTTTAAGGAAGGCTCAGGGCATCAACTGACATCACTGCAGTGCCTATGACCAGGAGTTCCTAGGGTTCGACTCCCGAACCGGTGCAGGATTTTCGACACTAGCTAGATAGCTAGGTCGAATATGGCGCTGTCCTGGGAGATAATTCTGCGGTCGCCTGCTCTGATCGGCTAGTTTCCCCTGGTTTCTCCCGATAAAACACATCCTCATCCGTTACCACGGCCCCCCCCATTTTAAACTTTTTTCCCCCCCAAAATGCACTACACTACACAAACGCCCGGGCACCGGTTTGGCGAGCTTAGAACTCTTCCGGCTTATATCACTTCTATATATAATACAAGAGTGTTTCCTTGTTCCTTTATTCTTAATTTCCTTCTGCCATATAGTTTTGCTTTACTTTGTTAAGTAGCTGTTCAGTCCCTCCTTTTTTCAAGTCGTACTGGCCTCGTCAATAATATTTTCATTGTAGATATAATTACTTTATGCTAGTTACAAATATACTTTTTTCGCACGATTTTTTCAGTAAACCCCGACAATATTGTGATTTTGTCGTATAATATCAAATAATAGTACTAATAATAATTAATAATAATATATAATAATAATATAATAATCAATATAATAATTTAGAAGAGAGCATGCATATAAAATATGAATATTGTTTTGGAAAGAATCTTCGAATTCCAGAGTTTCGTTCGAGTTCTGAAGTGTCAAATTAAGATCCTAGAAGAACAGGTATATTGTTGAAACAATTTATGTCCATGAACGTTCTAATACACAATTCTAGACCATGAAAGTTGAATTATACAACATGAAGATTAAAGAGATTAAATGGGATACGAAAAAATTCCTTGAAATTATAACAAGATATCAAACATCTGCGAAGAGGAGGAAAATGGACATTTCAAAACCAGCCATAATTCAGGATTAGAATGTCATTATATCTAGATAAGACATAATTTCATTAAATTGCTTAAACGAGTCATAACAGCCGACTTTCTAAATTTTTTTTAGTTTTCGTAATGAGCAAATAAGGAAAAACTGCGGTGTGCTTAAAAATTATTCTAATAAACATTTATCTCTTTCTTATAAAAGAATTAACAGTTTTGTAATTGAACTGTTTTCTAATAATAATTTAAAAGAGAGCATGCTATTAAAAATAATATTGTTTTTGGAAAAGAATCTTCGAATTCGGCGAAGTTTTGTTCGAGTTCTGAACGTGTCAATTAGCATCTAGAAGAAAGGTTATATTGTTTGAAAACATATGTCATGAACGTCTAATAACAAACATTTAGACCATGAAGTGATTATACAACATGAAGATTAAAGAGATTAATGGGATACGAAAATTCTTGAAAATTATATCAAGATTCAACATTGCCAAGAGAGGAAAATGGGACATTTCAAAACCAGCATAATTCAGGATTAGAATGTCATTATATCCTAGATAGACATAAATTTCACTTAAATTGCTTAACGAGTCTAACAGCCCGACTTCCTAAATTTTTTTTAATGTTTTTTCCGTATGAGCAACAAAAGGAAAAAATGCGGTGTGCTTAAAACTTATCTAGTAACCTTATCTCTTCATTATAAAGAAAATAACAGTTTTGTAATTGAACCA